ACCTCCCCACATTCTTCATTAGTCCAAAGGGAAGACGGATAGAAGGGACAGACTTGGCTGAACTTGAGACTGCTTCAGAGACACCCGTAACCAGCACTCGAGACCACAATGCCAGGAAGAGCTTCTCTTCCCTGAGCCTCTACCCCATCTCTGCCCTTCCTCTTCCTGTGGACTTCCTTCTTGGCTACACAGAGGACTTTCTCTGCAGAGTAGAAAACATGGCCTCGGGCAGGTCTGGGCTGCAATTTGGGGCCCTCTGCCAAAGAGGAAGACATCTTCCGCTTTTCATTGAAAACAAAACAGAAGTGAGGTGGACTTAAAGTGCCCCCAAACCCACCACTCCCATTCCCAGGCAGGTGAATTAGGGTGCAGTTAAGAGCACTTGCTGCTTTTGCAGAGGACCCAGGTTTGGTTCCCAGCACACATGTGACCCCTCATAACCATCAGTAATTCCAGTTTCAGGGTAGCCACTAGATCACTCTTCTGGTCTCTGAGGGCACATATGTTGTGCACCACACATACATGTAGGCAAAAATTTATACACATAAAATAAAAAGTAATTATATATGTACGTGTGTGTGTTTTCTTTTTTATTTGGTTTTGCTTTGTTTTAAGGAGGATGATGGAAAACAAAACCAGGTAGTCATAGAATCATAGTTTTTCTAGAATCAGAGTCTACAGTTTCCAGCAATTGCCCAGGGATGACCCCACCCATAATGCTCTGGGCCCTTCATCATCAATCACTGACTAAGAAAATGCCCTACCGGTGTGCATACTGCGTGATCTTCTGGAGGCATTTCTCAGTTGAGGAACCTCTCAGATGACTCTAGATTGTGTCAAGTTGGCAGAACTAGCCAGCACACTGGCTATCAACTTCATCGCTGATGGATGCCCACCCTACTCTGCAAAGACTGATGAATAAATACATCCATGTACACCTGAAGCCTCTTGCCAGGCCCTACCTGTCCAATGTCTGTTGCTGATAGAGATAGAAAAACAAGCCAGAAAACAGGGAGAACCATGGAGGGTGGGACCAGGATTCCCACAGGCTAGCTAAACTGCCTATCAACAGCACCAGGAGAACTTGTGGGAAGTGCAAATCATTAGACCCTCAGCCAGGCTTGCTAATTGTGGGGGTGCACTTGGAAATCTGAATTTCAAAAGCCCTCTATGTAGCTTTGATGCCCTCTAGTTTAACAAGCAAAGTTGGACCAGTGAGCTGATGCCACCAACCCTCCCACATTGCTGTTGAAAATGTCTTTTTAAAGACTGTACAATGGGACCAACAAGATATCTCGGTGGGTAGAATCACTTGCTACCAAATGCCCAGCGTGATGACCTAAATTCAATCCCAAGAATCCACATCGTGAGGTAGAGAAACAATTTCTACATGCTACCCTCCAAACTCTATACTCACACATATGAAGAGTCCAAGAATAAGAATATAGAAAGGATACAGAAATGTAGATTCCAGAAATAAGAATGTAGAAATAAAGAAATCAAGTTGTAAGCCTAGGAGAATGAGAGCAGGCTGTCAGCAGCTTTCTCAGCAGCTTAAGGATTAACTATTAACAGTGGGTTACTCCGCTTTACAACGCATAGCTCTATCTGCAAGGCTATAACGGCCCTCTGCAAACTGAGGGTCAGCTTTTAGGTCACCCCCATTCATGATCATTAATGTGAGCTAAGTGAGCTTTTAAATGATGGGATGTACCCGACTTTTTGGTTGTGTGTTTTTCCATACCTTTCCCTGCTACATAAAACTGGCAGTATCTGGGGTGTGCAGAGCTTTGGTAAACACCATCAGAAAGTGCCAGATAAAGACAACGGGCTAAATAAAAAGACTAGTTTAACGAAAAAAACTCTGCTAATGGAAATTGTAAAAAAAAAAAGCAATTTGTATCTGAGTTTTACCTTGAGATTGTAAAAATTCTTTTGTTCATGCCTAATGCTTGCTTCTTGCTATAAAAAGGAGAGATCAAAACAGCCCATCGCCACAGCCTTACAAGGCCATCTCTGGCTGTGGTCCCAGTTAGCTGATAAACTTTTTGTGCCCCATGGTGATTTATTTTTTAATTTTTTTCCTTAGAATAAAGTTTGCTCCTGGTTTAATAGACTTTAGTGGTTTGTTCCCCTTCTTTGCACAACCCCCGTGGACCCAACGCACACGCACGAAAAATCAATCAATCAATCAATCAATCAATCAATCAATCTGCGAGTCGACATCGCCACAAAGGGATGCAAAGCAGTTACCACAGGAGCAACAATGAGACTTAAAGTTGGCACTAGTGAGGCAGGCATCTGCATTGTTGCTGAGATCATCTCAACTCCGTGTTTGCTTGCAGGGCACTGGCAAGGATCTTGCCAGCAGCTGGGCTTCTCCAGCGCTTCTGGGCACATGAGTCCTCGGGGATCGAGTTAAAATGCAGTTTCTGGTTCGCTAAGTCTAGCAGGGACCTGAGATTCTGCAACCCTGATCATGTTGATGCTACTAGTCCCAGCTGGACCTGCTCTGAAGACCCAAGAATGAAGATACCCGAAGCAGGTGAAGAGACGTTAGAGGAGGAAATTCACGCCAGAGGCTAGCTAGTGTGGTACCAGATTACAACAGGGAGGGGATAGTGGTGCGGGAGAATTATCTGTATTCTGTCAATCATATTTTAATAAAACGCTGATTGGCCAGGCAGGCAGTATAGGCGGGAAAGCCAGACAGGAAGTAGGGGTGGAGCAAAGAGACTGGGAGTATTCTGGAAGCAGAAGCTCTCTCAGCCACTCCTGTACAGACCACCGAAGAGGCAGCATGTAACTTGCCCAGCAGAGAAAGGTACGGAGCCATTATGGCTAACATAGATGAGAATAATGGGTTAATATAAGTTATAAGAGTTAACAAGAAGCCTGACCTAATGAGCCAATCAGTTTATAACCTTATGGAGTCTTGTGTGTGATTTCCTTTGTTGCTTGCCGGCTGTTGGGGTACTGGGAGGGGCAGAAACCCCAACAAGCCGGCCCTCATACTACAGGATAGTCCTTTAAACAAGTTCTGTACCAACTGTGCACAAAGCCAAGGATGACCTTGAACTCTTTGGGCCTTCTGCTTCTGCCTCAGGGGCGTGCAAGGGTAGCCTCCAAGTCTGGCTCAGATAATAAAACAAAAACACAACCTTATCTTTTAGACTAGGCGTGAGAAATACTGTGAAGGACTGGTGTATCCGTGGTGCAGGATTCTCACCATGACATCACAGAACAGTTACTCGGTAGGTTTTACAAATAGACTTCTGTAGATCCTAGTGGCATAAACCTTCCATTCCAGCATTGGGCGGGCAGAAGCAGGTAAACCTCTGTGAGTTTGAAGCAATATAGTAAGACCCTGTCTCAAATTTTTTTTTTAAAAAAGTAAACTTTAATTATTTTGAGGCATAGGCTGGCTTTGAACTCAAGATTCTCCTGCTTCAGCCTCCCCACTGGTAGGATGACTGGCACACGCCAGCACACCCAACAAACCATCAGTTGTTTTCTGAAGCTGCCCCTAGAGCCTCCATGCTCTTCTTTGAGCTCTAGACGGACCTCCAGTCCAACATCACAACCTGGTCAGCTCACCAAAAGGCAGCCCTTCTTCCCCGTGATGTCCCTGGCAATCATGGCTTGTCATCTCCACTCCCGAGAGGAAAGTGGACCAGCTCTGAAGGGGTGTGGGTGGCAGCCAGGAGGAGATGTGTCATTAGGAACAAGGGCCAGAAAAGAAAGAGTCTAGTGTCGGTCATGGGCATCTTCAACTCATCTACCATTTCTCTAGGGTCTACTGCCTGCCCCTGCTGCTGGATAACTGGGCGCAGAGACAGATGCAGCCGCCGCACACGTTCCGGGACACTGGAAAGCACATTCTTTGATGGAGGACCACGTGGCGTCTGCAGGCTGAGGTGGCCTGGCAGCTTCTGACTGACTTAAGTGCCAGGCCTCGCTCAAGGGTATTTTTAACATCTGTATTCTGGGACGAATTTTAAGAGTCTTTAAAAGGAGATGAGATTGTACACCAGATGCCTGCCCCCTGCTGGGTGCCCAGGGGAGCTTTTCTACATCAAAAATGGTCACAGTTGTTATTTTTCCATTTTATGTTTTATTTCATTTCTTTCTCTGTTTGCCTGTGTTGGCTGAACCCAAGGCAGTGCATGGGCTAGACTACGGCTCCATTGTTGAACTTCACTGACACGCCTGTCCTTTTGTTGATGTTCGAGGCTCAGAAGATAGTTTTTTTTTTTCTTTTTTTCTTTTTGGTTTTTCCAGACAGGGTTTCTCTGTGCAACAGTCCTAGCTGTCCTGGAACTTGCTTGGTAGACCAGGCTGACCTCAAATTCACTGAGCTAACACTTGCCTCTGCCTCCCGAGTGCTGGGAACAAAGGTGTGGCTGCCACTGCCCAGCTTCGATTTTGTGTTTTTAGGGAATTTCTGTGTATGCAGATGTGTGTATCTCTGTGTCTTCATGTGTTCCTTATGCTTTTTTTTTTTTGGCTTTTGTTAGTTTATCCTATTCTGGTTTGTTTCTTTTTTTATTTGATCTTATTTTATTTCATTACTATTTTTGATTTATTTTTATTTTATGCTCACTGGTGCATGTACGCCTGGGTGAAGGTGTCAGAAGCCCTGAAGCTAGAGTCACAGACAGGTGAGCTGCCATGTGGGTGCTGAGAACTGGACCTGGGTCCTCTGGAAGAGCGGCCAGTGCTCTTAACCACTGAGTCATCTCTATCCAGCCCCTCATTTTTAATTTAGACGCCCCCTTGTTCTTCTAACAAAAGAAAGAAGGCTAAGGTGTGGATTTGGGGAGGGAGGAGGTAAGATGGTCAGGGAGGGCCTGGGAAACGGGGGAGGCAGGATGGGTCAGGGAGGGGCTTGGAGAGGGAAAACTAAAGTCAGATTATATTGTATTAAAATCTATATAATAGAATTTTTTTTAAAAATCTACATAAAATTTTTAATTTAAAAATAGGAAAAACCTTTCTTGTTATAAAACAAAACAAAAACCCTACTTATTATGTGCTCGAGCACATAGTTATATACACTGTGGATTTCTGTATTCTCTACCAGGAGTTTACTCCAAGTACGGCCAGCCCATAAATAAGAGAGCAATTATTTCTTCCTAGAGAGGGGAGCCAGGACAGAAGTGACAGGGTCTTGTGCGGCCCGGGCTGGTGATGATCTTGATGTCCTGATCCTGATGCTCCCTCTTTCAGCTCCCGAGTGCTGGGATGGCAGGTGAGTGCCACCGCAGAGAAGGGTTCCTAAGAGATAAGGGAGGTATGCCCCGCGGACAGAGCTGTTACAAATGCATGAGAAAGGGGCTAAAAATGGATAGAGAGATGGCAGTGGTGGGGGGGCAAGGGTGAGCTGGGTTGGACTTGCAGAGGCTGCGGGTGTGGGGACTGTGGGGCAGGGATTATGAATCCTCAAGAGTAACCACGCGAACATGGGTGTCAAGATGAAGCAGCTTAGCATAGCCAAGATTCAAGAGCCAGTGCGCAACCATGAGGTTGGAAGCGGAGGTGCACAGAACACACCTCCAGGCACTGAGGTTAATGTCCCCTAGTCTAGCAGACTAGCTGATTTGTAAAAACAAAGCCGGGCCCCAGGACACCTGAATTTGTGGGTGGGGTCTACCAGCGGCACGTGTTCTCACATTGAGTCCTGGGGATTCAATCTGTTCCCTTTCTCGTTAGAGCAAGTGAGCCAGTAAACTTACACTAGGTCCCATCTACTGGAGGAGAGAGCTGGCTTTCTCTCAGACGCCGCCGGATGACTGCCCTGCTAGGCTAGTAATCCTGTCACGTGCCGGTCCCCTGATCCCTGGGGAAGACAAAAGCAAGCAGCGGCAACAGTCACAGGTTGAGGAACTTGGTAGAATTCACACGAGTGACCAGGGGCTGAGGGAAAAGGGACTGCAGGCAGGGTGTTGCGGAGATGCAAAAATAATCGGAAGATAGCTACTCCGTGCCAGGTCCTGGTTTACGTGCCAAGGGGACACATTTTGAAAAGGTGCTCGAGAAACGCTGCTTCAGAGGCTGGCACATAGTGGGTGGATCGTTAGCGCTCTGTACACTTTGCGTCCTTCCTGGAAGGATATGGAAGGATGCGAAGACGAGGAGGAAAATGAGGTTTCGCCTGTAAGGACCTTGAGATCCTGTAAGAGGCTGAAGATGTCATTGCACAGTTCTCCGAAACCCAGGTAAAGTAAGCCAGGCCCTGTGAGCCAGCTTCAGGGGTGTGGAGAGGGTGTGAGGGATGCTCCTGCCAAAGGCCAAGAACAAGGATCCCCAGGAGACAGATGTCTGGGCCTGTCTGTGGGGAAGTCTGCAGGCTGGGTTAAGTGAGATAGGAAGACCCACCTTAATGCAGAGGGCACCCTCCCCTGGAGAAGGTGAGCTGAGCACCTGCCCCATCCCTCTCTGCTTCCTGACTGAGATCACAATGTGACCAGCTGCCTCAAACTCCCGAGGCCGTACTGCACCTCCGAGATGACTGACTGTCCCTTCACACTTGAGAGTCCTAACAAGCCCCACCTTCCTTTCTTAAATTGCTTTTTCACAATAAGAAGTAACGGATGCGGAGGACCTCCGTCCTCAGAGTGGAAGTGCCAGGTAAAGACGCGGTGGGGGTGCAGCAGAGGTGCTGGACACGGAGCAGTGCAAGGACCGAGACTCGTGGGAAACCATCTGAAGAATGAACCGGAAGAGAGCCCATTCTAGTGGCCGCTGAAGTCTGGAGGGAAAGTTATGTGCGAATCAGTTGCTTAGGAATCTGGAATTCTGGTTCCCATGGGAGCAAGGCCGTAAAAGGAGGCTGATTTCTCAGGCCAGAGGATGGAAACAGATTTACCCAACATTCTTCAGCCAGATTACTCACGGTCACTCCCTACCTCCAGGACCAGAGAGATGAGAGGGCTGGCGTATGACTCCTTGTGGGTCTGAGACACCCCAGGCCATCTTCCCGAATAGGGTTTCAAACAAATTTGAGAAATCGTAAGGCTGGTTTTCATTGTATTTAATAATGAAACCATCAGCTGACACACACACACACTCGCAACCTCACGTTCGAGTGTTCGGTTTGCAGGAAGTGGTGACAAGTCCTCAGTTATTATTGAATCAGCAGGCAGGCAAGTCTCAGGATCTCACAGCGGCTGAAGCAGGAGTGTCTGAGGTAAATGGGTTCTAATCCTCTAAGCCACTGATGCTTAGAGTCCGTAGCAAGAAGGGGGCTTAGGATGTGTGCACACAGGAAGAAGGCTGTGTGACGTAGAGGCCAGGGATAAGGGTGATGAACCTATGGTCCAAGGAAGGCTGCAGATTGCCCACAAACCAGCCAAAGCAGGGTGAGAGGGGGTTGGATAGCTTCTCTCTTACAACTGTCAAAAGGATCAATGCTCTTGATATCTTGGCCTCACTTAGACTTCTGGCCTCCAGAATCATAAGCCCTTAGATAACAGAGCTGTTGTTGAAGTCACCCTGTGAGCAGACCAATGAATGTATTGGAGCAAGCAGTCTCCGATAAATGGCTGGCAGCAGGGTTTCCACTGCTGTCTACAACAGGAATCTTTTGTTTGTTTGTTTTTGCTTTTCGAGACAGGGTTTCGCCCTGGCTATCCCTGAATTCTCTTTGCAGACCAGGCTGGCCTGGAACTCATAGAGATCACCCCCTGCCTCTTCCTCCTGAGTACTGAGATTAAGGCCTAGGCCACCACCACCCAGCTCAGTCTTTTATTCTATACAGATATTTTATTTAAAAGGCAAAATCACTTATGATGTTTTAGAATATGCTTTTTTTTCCTGAACGGTTTCCAATAAACATTTTTCCAAGTTACTTTTGAACATCGCCATTATTCGTAGAGAGAGTTCCATAGTGTGGGGTATACTCAGTCGCTCTCGCTGGCAGTGTGTGCCTTCAATCTACCAATCCTGCTTTTAGCCCACCAAAGTGAAGCACTGGTTTCTTATAACTTATAAGAAGAAAAGTTTAGGGGCTGGAAAGATGGCTCAGAGGTTAAGAGCATTGCCTGTTCTTCTAAAGGTCCTGAGTTCAATTCCCAGCAACCACATGGTGGCTCACAATCATCTGTAATGGATCTGGTGCCCTCTTCTGGCATGCAGGTATACACACAGACAGAATATTGCATACATAATAAATAAATAAATGTTAAAAAAGAAGAAAAGTTTATTAGGATACTATTAATACTAGCAAAAAGCTGGACACATGACTCGCGATTAAGAGTACTGGCGAGCTCTTCCAAAGGACCCAAGCATTTCCAGGACAGCTCCCAATCCTCTGTCACTCCAGTTCCAGGGGATCTGATGCCCTCTCCTGGCCTTCTTGGGCATCAGGCCTGTACATGGTGCACAGACAAGCATATGGGCAAAATACACATAAAATATAAAATCACAGCACTTGAAAGCCTGAGGCAGGAGGATTAGGAATTTGAGGCCTAGACAGTGAGATTCTGTTTTAAGAATTAACAGGAAGAGCCAGGTGATGATGGAGCACACCTTTAATCCCAGCAGTGGGGATGGGGGTGGGGGGCGGACACATGGCAGAGACAGTCATATCTTTGAGTTTGAGGCCAGCCTGGTCTATAGAATGATTTCCAGGACAGCCAGGGCTACACAGAGGAAACCCTATCTCAGAAACAAACAAATAAACACAATGTCAGGAATTTGAATGGTTAATGCCCCTAACCCCCAAGAAGACTGAGCAGAGCTATGAAAATAATCAAACCCAGCAGTGTGCCTTACTGCAGAGTGGTCCTGAGTAAACCATTTCCCTCCCTGGTCCTTGGTTTCCTTGTCTGTAAAATGGGCAGGAGAACAATCTTTCCATCTGTCAGAATTAAAACGTGGACAATTCCAGGAAGTTAAAGAAGTAGACATTAATTTTCTTAGACACTGTCAATTCTGTATCTAAGAAGTACAATTTAAAATACTATTACATGAAAAGTAGGCTTAGTAGCATATGCCAGCACTTGGGAAGCGGAGGCAGGAGGATCAGGAATTCAAGTTCATCCTCGGCTATATAGCAAGCTTGAGGCCAACCTGGAGTATATGAGACCCTGTCTCTAATTAATTACTCATTAATTAAGAGTAAAATGGCAATAAAGTCAGTTCTGCCTGGAGCTGCCCCAGGTCAGCTCTCCTGGGCTGCTCAGAGCTAACTCCCATCTTTAAAGTCTTATAGGGAAGGGTAGGTTCTGAGATTGGGTCGAGTTGGAGGCTAACGGTTACACAGGGAAGTTGGGAGCTGGACTCCAAAGGGGCTCTTTCTGAAGCTTGGTCTTCACCGTCAGCAAGAGGCTGACATTTCCTTTGGGAGCATATGTTACGAAAGTTTTTTGTTTGTTTTTTTTTGCATAAAGATTAAGAAATAGACCTCTAAATGAAGCCAGGGTCGTGTGATCACGCAGCTGGGCTGCCTGAACATCAGGCTTCCATTCCTGCCATCATTGCCTTCCAGGCCTCAAGGTGGCGCTGCTCCCTCTTCAACGTCCCTCTGTTCTGCTGGGAAAACAGAACTTTCAACTAGACTGTCCTAAGAGCCGCGTGATATTATAATAATAGTAACAACAAAAAAACAGCAATAATAGTTAGCAGCGTATTCTGAGAGCACCGAAAATTCAAAACATTGTCTATCTAGCCCGAGTTGCTCCCTGCAGCTCTCAGCCCCTCTCGTATCCACCAGGAATCCCACACCGTGGGTTCCCCAGTTCCTCACTTCCAAGCGTTAAGACATTTGTCAAGCCCTGAACAGAAACACAAACAAAGGCTCAAGGATTCTGTGCCTACAGGTGTTTGAGTTATCAAACCTTCCACTATGACATGCCTGTCTTCGTGATCAACTGTGCTGAGCTCAGTGAGGTGACAAATGTTCGCTCTAATTTCTGAGATGTGGAGGCAGGAGAATCACGAGTTTCAGGTCAGCCTGGATTGTACATAGTGAGATCCTGTATGAACTGGAGATCCTGTAGGAACAAGCTCTGTGGTAGAGAGCTTGCCTAGCAAACACTAAGCCCTGGATTCAATCCCTAATATCACACACACACACACACACACACACACACACACACACACACACACCACAAACACACTGTGGAGATCTAGGTGGGTTTTTTTTTCAGTCTTCTTGAAGATCCATATCCCTGGCCCTTCATTTCCCTGCATAACTCTGTCCCAGACTATAAAGAGACCCAGATAATACAAGAATACTAAGACTTGTACACCCAGACTTCCTCCAACCATATCCCTTACATCCCCAAATAACCACCCCTTGGATCCAGGCCCCCCTAGAGAAGACAGGTCCAGGAAAGATGTCCTTGTAAGCCCAGAAAGGACTTGCTACCCCTGAGGCAGACATTCTGGAACCTGTATTTCAAGTGAGCGTACAGACCCCTTCCTCCAGGGGCTTCTCTTACTCTAGCGTGGGGAATAGGATCAGAGAGAGGTAGCATCCACCCCTCAGAATTGCCCCTAGATATCTGAACTCCTAGAATGCTGTGTTGTGGGAGACCTCACCTCCTCCTTATCCCTCTTTCTTGTTTTGGAGACCCCTTCATGTCCAGTAATTGGCACTAGGCAAGACCCCACCCATTGGTCAAGACCACAACTACCCTGGAAGTCTTTCTCTCTCAGTCCTCAACAAACTCCTCAAAAACAGCAGCCTTGCGTTCGCAGAGGCCCACGGTAAAAGGCAAAGGGAGGAGGGTCCTTTCAGGACATAGAGTGTCATTTATCTCTCAGGGGACAGATAATTCTGGCCTTAATGCAACCCTTCATCTGCCTAGTCTCTAGCTGATGGGAAGGCAGGCTCCCAAAGCAGCCCCAACGAGCGGTAAGGGCTCTTTGGTTGAAATGAAAAATTCATGAAGGAAGACTGGAGCTGGGGCCTTTGGACGGCCTCCAAGCCACTGTGCTCGGGGGATATGGCAAGGAACTGGAAAAGCCAAATGGAAAATTTCTTCTCTCTCCAGTATATGCCATCATGTTACCCCTTCTCGGCTGTCCCTAGCTACTCCCCTTTAGTCTCCTCAGTGCCCACGCTACGAAGGCATTCAAGAAATAGGGTGAGCTGCCCACCCAGAAAAACAACATGGTACCCACTCAGCATCCTCAACAAAATAATCCTTGTACCTAGGCAAGTTGGCACAGCCCTGGCCACCTGTCACCCCAGACCTGAAAGGAAACCAAACTGGTTTTTGTCTGTCCCCCCAGAAGACACCTACAGAGTACTGCCTGTTCCAATTTCCTAACCAAGAAATCTGATCAAAATTCATGAGATTGGCCAAAGCTCACAAGTTAGGAAAGAGATGGACTTTAGTGTTATCATATGGGGGAGACGGGTTTAGATGAAGTCACAGGGAACAAGTAAGATTGAAGGGTTGAACTCCCACATAAAATGGGCTTGAGAAGTCTGCTAGCTCATGACACAGAATGGTACCACAGTGGCCGGGGCCATTCATGGACAGTGAGTGCCGGGGCGGGGGTCAGGCCTGCCAGGAGGGACAGTCTTCACTGAAGGATAAGGAAGTCAGAGGCTCCCATCTTTGCCTTGTGGCCCCGGTCAGAGGCAAACCTCCCTCGGAGCCAGGTGTGATAGTTCACCTCTGGAATCCCAGCACTTGGGATGTGGAAGCCGTAGGATCAAGAGTTCAATTATGTAGTGAGTTAAAGGTTAGCCTGGGTTACAAAAGTCTGGCGTAGCAAACAAACAGACTCCCTCCACTGTGCCCCTCCCAGGCCAGCTGGTACCCTCAAAGAAACAGCATCCTCCAGCAGCTTGGCACTGCCATTGCCTTGGTAATTAGTTCTCAACTCTCTTAGGCATTCGTAGTCTTCCCTACGGTGCAGCACCTGGGTTCAGATAACAGCTTCTTATTGATGAGCTTCTCGTGACAGGTGCGGTGGTGTGTGTGCCTTTAACCCCAGCAGTGAGGAGACCAAAGCAGGCAGAGCCCTGTGAGTTCAAGGTCAGCCTGACCTCACAGTGAGTTCTAGGCCCTCAGGCCACATAGTCAGACTCTGTCTCAAGAGAAAAGGAAGAAAGGCTGGTTTTCCCATCATGCCCAGCTTTACGCATTGAACTCGAGGCATTGTGTATAATAGACAAACACTCTGTGGGTGGATCGCCAAGTCTTCAATCCCTGCCCCTGGGGACATTCCTAAAGCGTAAGTTCCAGAGGACCATTACAAATGGGAAGAAAGAAGCCTCCTAAACATCAGAACTAAGCATGGCTGGAGTCCTAAAGAGCAAGCAGAAGCACATTGGTGGAGGTGGGTTTATGACACCTAGGGGCCACTGCCCATTCAAGAATGTGAAGGTTTGGGCCTTAGGGAGAAATGTGCACTGGGGATAAGGCTAGGGGAGCTCTTAGAATGGAGGTTTTCTTAAAAGACATTTAGGAGGGGCTGGAGAGATGACTCAGTGGTTTAAGAACATTAACTGTTCTTCCAGAGGACGTGGGTTCAATTCCCAGCATCTACATCCCTTTAGGTGCTGGTCCTCCCTGGGTGGTGTCTGCTTATGGCTTTTCGTGGAACCTGGTGCTGCCTGCCATTGCAGCTGTGTGGCCTGGGCCCCATTATGTGTGGCCAGGTTGCCCTGGGCTCCATATCAGAAGGGGTCACTATCCACAGGCTGAGAACCACTTAGATGCTAACTTAGACATACTTTTTTTGTTTATTTTTTATTTAATTCATTTATTTATTTTACATCACAACGGAAGGTTTCCCCCTCCCATTCCCTCCCCTACCTTCCCTCCATGACCCCCTCAATCCACTCTTCCTCTGTTTCTCTTCAGAAAGAGGCAGACCTCCCATGGGTGTCAACAAAGCATGGCATATCAAGTAGTGGCAAAACTGAACGCCTCTACCTGTATTCAGGTTGGGTCAGGCAATCCAGAATGAGGAATAGTGTAGCGATATCACGTTTGCACAAATAAAACTTGCCTGAAGAACAGAGGACGGAGCCAGCCCCTAGCTAACCATAGAGGACTGGAGGGCTGTATAGACATACAGGAAGTGATATGGCTGGACCGAGAGAGGAACCAATAAGGCAGGAGGAAATAGGAGCTCAGTCTCTTTTTAGCTGGGAAGCTGAGTAGGTAAGGTGGCTGTGGTTTGCTCCTTCATCTCTCTGATCTCTCAGCATTTTCCCTGTATCTGACTCTGGACTTTTATTGTTAAGAACTATCAGAACTAACTCATGCTACAGAAGAGGTTTCTGAGAGCCAAAGTGTGAGGGACAGCTTCTCACATTATAATGGAATAATGATTCCATTATTGGGAATCAACTTAGACATACTTTTAATGAAGGGCTACTAAAGCTAGTTCATCATTGACTCTGGTACTTACTGACGCCTCTGCTTTTAATGGGGACTAATTTCTTTGTAATATATTTTGCCTGGATCATTCGACAATGCCAAGGTTGTTGTTCATCAATCCCCATCGCTGTTCCTAATAGAAACTGATTTCCTCTGGGCAGTGGTGGCTCACACCTTTACTCCCATCACTCGGGAGGCAGAAGCAGGCAGATCTCTGTGAGTTCGAGGCCAGCCTGGTCTGCATAGTGAGTTCCAAGATAGCCAGAGCTACACAGAGAAACCCTGTCTCAAAAAAAAAAACTAAAGAAGAAGAAGAAGAATAAAGAGAGAGAGAGAGAGAGAGAGAGAGAGAGAGAGAGAGAGAGAGAGAGAAAGAAAGAAAGAAAGAAAGAAAGAAAGAAAGAAAGAAAAAAGGAAACTGGTTTCCTTTTGGTTATATTGGACTTTACACACACAGAATCCTTAGTCTCAGGAGACTGAATTAGGAAGACAGGGGCTTCAAGGACAGCCTGGGAAGGAGGGATGAATGAAAATACTCAATGGGTTGTAAAAATCACCGTTTACCAACTGACATAAACCCTGCCAGGCCTTTGTTTGGGTGGTGGTGGTGTTTTTGAGACAATGTCTTGCTATATAGCCCAGGCTGGCTTCACACTTGTGGCTATTCTCCTGTCTCAGTCTCACTTCCACGCCTGGCTTGGGCTTTTCTCAAACATAATCCCCGCAGCTCTCTCCGCACCCTCCCACCCGCACAGGCCTGGACTCCACAGAAGGCACATAGATTCCTGTGGCCATCTTCCCAAGCTCCTGTGCAGCATCCATCCCCACAGCCGTCTCCTGCTGACTCCACATCCACCAAACACTGGCTCCCTATCCGCTCCCAGTCCCCATGGCCACGGCTCCACTTCGTGTCTTCTTGAGTCAGACGGCTCTAAGCGCCTCACGTAAATGGATTCATACAGTGTGTGCCCCCTTGCAATTGGCCTAGTTCACTTGGCAGAAGGAGAATTCACTTAGCAGAGTCAAAATGTCCTTCCTTTTAAGTGCTCAATAATGCTCCATCATAGGCATATACTTCATTTTATTTATCCACTCATCCGTTGATGAGCACTTAGTGAAAATAGGTTTTTTTTTTAAGTTGCTTTCTTTTTCTATCTTGCAGGCATCACTTCATATTAAAGTAAAAGTACATTTTTAAAATTTTTATTAGCATATGTTAATTATGTATAATGGGCTCTATTATGACATTTTCAGACATTTGTAGAATATAATTTGGATAGTGTTCATGCCCATCACCCTCTCCTGTTCCCTTCCCACTGATCCCTTCTTTCCACAGCTATTTCCTCTTCTGCTTTCATGGGTCTTTCCTTCCTTCCTTCCTTCCTTCCTTCCTTCCTTCCTTCCTTCCTTCTTTTCTTTCACCAATGAGTTTCATTAGGGTTGTCTTCAAGAGTACAGGTTGAAGGTTATTTATAAGAGCATGGGAACCTTACCATGGTAGCATCACTGAATAAAATGGAGGCATTATTATTTAGGGTTTTTTTTTTAATTGATGTTGTTTGAAATCAAGTCTCACTATGCAGACTGCCCTGGGACTCACAATCCTCCTGCAGGGATCTCAGGCCTATACCACCATGCCCACCAGTGGCTCTTAGAACTCTGTGAAATACATGGTCTAAGCCAGGCAGTGGTGGCACACGCCTTTAATTCCAGCACTCGGGAGGCAGAGGCAGGTGGATCTCTGCTTGAGGCCAGCCTGGTCTACGAGAGCTAGTTCCAGGCTCCAAAGCTACAGCGAAATCCTGCCTTGAAAAACCAGAAAAAAAAAGAGAAGAAATGTATGGTCTATGTTAATTAACTAGATCACCCATAATGAACACAATCATTATTTAATAAACTTTTCACTAATGCAGTTTTCACAGATTTATGCCGAGGAGTGAACCGCACATGAGAAGGCGCGATGTCTGTACGAGGTTTGAGGGCTAATAATAGAAAAACCACATGTGTGCATTTTCAGGCCATGGAGGCCTCTGCTGGTCCTGTCTTCTCCCGTGAGGACCACTGTCCTAAACTTGCATTAACAGACTTTTCTCTATCATTTTTTTCATATGAGAATATGCCCTGCTCCCTCTCAAATTCCACCCTAAAGGAATCTGCAGGAGAGACCAAGGGCACTGCAGGACCCCAGGGTGCCTTGTCCCAGTCTGATCCCTATTCTCCGACCATGATTCCCTGTCTCACTACATAGGTCCACAGTTCATAGGCTGGAGTCTTCGAACACGTGAACCAAAATAAACCTGTTCATAAGTTTGTTGCTTCAGGTATCTCATTACGGCGTGAGGAGATAGACCTCTCTCCTTCTAGTTGTCGGCAAGCCTTGGCAGTGTGTGATCTGTAGAAGCCTCACCCCATTCTCTGAGCTCATACGGCTTTTCCCTGTGTCTTGGGCTCCACATTCAGATCTCATTTTCTCCCTTCCAGGACACCAGTCTCTGGGCCGAAGGCCTTTGATCTCAGACGACATGAGTACATCTCAATTTGATAGTGATTGCAATGACCCTGTCCCCAAAATGATCAAGATATGAACATAGGCTTTTAGGGGACACAATCTAACCCACTACGATGAGCATCCTTATCCCCAAGCCATTCTCCTGCCCTGTCTCCTTTGGGAGGCAGGTAGGAGGATTGCTCCCTGCTCACAAGCAAACGGAGGGTACCGGAGACTTTTCCCTAGCCGAAGAGAGAGCAAAGGCACATTGCTCAGCACGGGGACGTTTGCAGGGAAAGGAGCTATGTGGTGATGGGGCCAAGAGAGCCCTGGGCCAGCAGAGTGGCTGAGCCAGCCTGCGCTGAGACAGTTTTGTTCTGGTGTCCTCAGCAGAGCCCTGAGCATGGTGACATAATGGCCCAACGCTATTAGTCATTGCTCCTCCAGATACCCATGCCATTTGGGAAACATGGCTGCATTCTATGAAGTCACCACATTCGCAGCATTTAGGGTCAGAATCAACAAAGCAGCAAAGAGTTTGGGGGCTCATGACTTTCTACTCCAGACTCCAGAGGGTGCAGAATGAAGGATGGTGTCTTCACGGGGCCCTACGGCTCCTGTGCCTAACGCTCCCCCTAAAAGCCCCTTTGCTTACTGTCCATTCTTTTCTCTCTGGCCTCTGGGAGGTGGAGCATCAGGGAACAGACCACAGTATAGGGGGATCTCACGGGCCGGCTCTTCATAGGTCGTCAGCAATTGTGTGATGAGTGAAGGCACTCTTCAACAAATGGAGAAGTGAATGAAACAGTCCCATGGGATTTTTTTTTACTCCCAAACGAGGGTGTGCATGTGTGTGTGTGTATATGCTTGTGTGTACACAAGCAGTCCTTGACTTAAGCCTGTGTGTGTGTGTGTGTGTGTGTGTGTGTGTGTGTGTAGCGTCTGCACTACAGGACTATACGTGAGCCGGGAACTAGACTGGAGACTTAAAAACACACGCACAGAGACAGCCGGGGACTTGGCTTATCCTTGATACAAGAATGCCAACTTTATTGTGCTCCAGGGAAGCTTATATAGGGATCCCTAACTGATAGCCACGCCCCAGCTCTCGGGATCTTTCAGCTGCAGAACCCACCAGAACACATTCTCCTGCCATCAGGGTCTCGTGCTCAGAGCAGCTGCAGGTGCAGGTAAACAAGCTGTTTTGCTCAGTTCACTCCAACAGGTAAAGGGTCTGAGGCAAGCAGAGAAAGTCAAGGGGCCAGGGGTCTGCAGCCCCCAACATGTGTGCGTGTGTGCATGTGTGTTTGCACATGTGATGCGGGAGAATTGTCTGTGTTCTGTCAATCATGTTTTAAATAAACGCTGATTGGCCAGGCAGGAAGTATAGGCGAGTCAACCAGACAGGATGTAAAGATGGGGCAATGAGAACAGGAGAATTCCAGGAAGGAGGAAGCCCATTCCTCCCACTCCTGCCCAGATCACAGAAGAAGCAGGATGTGACCTGCCCCGCTGAAAAAGGTACCCAGCCATGTGGCTGACATAGATAAAAATAATGGGTTAATTTAACTTATAAGAGTTAGCAAGAAGCCTGAGCTAATGGGCCAATCACTTTATAATCTTATGGAGATCTCTGTGTGATTTTCGTTGGGGCTTACCAGCTGCAGGAACTAGGCAGGACAGAAACCCCAACAAGCAGGCCCTCATGCTACACACATGTGTGCGTCTGTGTGTACACAAGTAGTTCTTAAGGTGGTCACTGTTTTCTTTCTTAGACAGGGGCTCATCAAATATCCCAGTCTGTCCTGGAGCTTATGGTCCTCTGGCCTCCACCTCCCAAGAGCCAGGATCACGTACCAGGACACTGCGGGAGAGTCAAACCTGGTAGTCCAGCTTCATACGGGACTTCCCTACATGCACTTTTGATTTACTGTGTTCTACACTGACCATGGTTTACTGGAAAACAGACTCGTCTGTGCGTGTCTCCGTACGTGTGCAGCTTCAACTCTCTTGATAACTGACTGCCTCCAACTTCAAGCCCACGAAAACTGTTTGATGAGCTAAAGGGCCCAGGTCAGGAAGTCAGATAGGAGCTAGAAGGGGTGGCTGATTTCTGCCCCAAGCCAAGGCTGACTCAGCAGCGGGGGCTACAGCCATCTGCAGGCATCTTCACCTACGTGTCTGGTGGTTTCACTGAAGCCTCAGCTGGGCTGCCAGCCCAAACGCCTACCCGTGGCTTCTGCGTGTGGCCCCTCCACGTTGGCGGGTTTGGGTTTCTTCAAGCCAGCTGGTAACTAGGACCCAAGGAAAAGTTTCCCACAAACCTAAGTGCAAGCGCACAGAATTGTTATGACTGTGCCTGGGAGATCCCAGGGCAGCACACGGTGGTGCCTCAAGGAGGTCATGCAGGACGCCAGGTTCAGGGCCTAGGGGAGTGGGCGAGAGTCTAGGACATGTGGACAGACTTGTGTCCATCCCTCCCCTGGGGAGATAGCCCAGTGGTGAAGAGACACTTGCTGCTCTTGTAGAAGACCCCGGTTCGGTTTCCAACATCTGCATCAAGGAGTTCACAGCTTCCAGTAACTCCAGTTCCAGGAGATCCAGTGTCCCCTGGAAACATGGGGTGTACACACACAGGAGATTAAAATAAAGAGTGTTTATATCATTCATATCATAAAAAGAGTTAAAACTCACCAGGTGTGCCTCCCTGATGCTCAACCAAAGGCAACCACTTTTTTCTGTTAGTTATGTGCTTGCTTTATTTCTAATTGTGCCACCCACATTTGTTCCCAAATAATATAGATTGTTTATAAACTCATAAAAATGGCATCAAAAAAAAGCTAGCTTAGATCTGTAATTCCAGTCCTTGAAAGGTTGAAGCAGGAAGTGAGTTTGAGCCTAACCTGGGATACACGGCAAGACCTGTCTCAAAAGAAAAGAAAAAAAAAAAAAAGGAAGCCATATGGAGTATTTTTTGTGCCCTCATTCATTTACTCTTATATCAGGCAGGATAGGCTTGGTTATGCTGTGGTAACAAACAAACCACAGTTATCTGCCACACACAGAATGTCCATGCTGTGAGTCAGCTCTAACTCTGCGCTGGAATTCAGTCAGACACGCAGCTCTGACTGGAAACATGGCTAGTGTCCAGACAGAAGGAAAAGGTGGTAGATTACAGGTTGGCACTTCAAACTCCTGGTCAGAAGTGACAGGTGTCAGTTCCATTCCGTGCGTCAAGCAAGTCATGTGACCAAGTCTAAGGTCCAGTAGAGTGCAAGTATAATCCTCGGGTAGAAGCATACCCCAAAAGAGGGTGGCCCTGGAGCAGTAAGGAGTGTTTGAAGCAATAATTCAAACTACCATGATGCTTCCCTCAGTCACAATCATTTGCTTCCTTTGGTTTTTTGTTTGTTTTGTTTTTGTTTTTTGAGACAGGGTTTCTCTGTGTAGCCCTGGCTGTCCTGGAACTCGCTCTGTAGACCAGGCTGGCCTCAAACTCAGAGAGAGGCCTGCTTCTGCCTCCCGAGTGCTGTGATTAAAAGCATGCGCCACCGCTGCCCGACAATTATTTGCTTCCTTAATGCAACTTACCTCAACATTCCTCTTTGGTCACACATGTTTTCTTCTCTCTTGCCAAACAGCTCATTTTTCTCACAGGAGAGATCTGACATTCCCACCCAGTCAGGGAAGCAGACTCCAAATCCAGAGTCTCGCTACAGGTACAAAGGGTGGAGGCGCGGTTGCTCTGACTGGAGAGCTGAAACAGAGAGGGCAAGTCATCGTTCAGGAACAAGGATGGGAAACAACAAGGAACACCTCATTTAGAAAGAACGGGGGACAGGGCACTGGCCGCTGAAATCCTGAAATGTTATAGGACTGGCATTACAAAGTGCATCTTTTAAAAAAATGTATTACCTTGTGTGTGTGTGTGTGTGTGTGTGTGTGCGCGCACACCTGACATCAAAGGCTAACTTGAGTCTCTCCTCCCAGCAGGTGGGTCCTAGGGATCCAACTCAGGTCATCCGACTCGGCAACAAGTGCTTTTATCCATGGGGCCCTCTCACCGGCACACATGGGGCCTCTTGTCCTGGGGGTGGTGATGTCTCTTGATCAGGTCTTAGTTTTGCTCCTGGTGGAGAGGGAGTCCCTCAACCTTTGACTAAAAGGACTTAAATGCTAAGTCCTCTTGGCTCTGCCATTCAGAAAGTCCATATATAATCTTCCGAAAGAAAGAAAGAAAGAAAGAAAGAAAGGAAGGAAGGAAGGAAGGAAGGAAGGAAGGAAGAAAGAAAGAAAGAAAGAAAGAAAGAAAGAAAGAAAGAAAGAAAAGAAAGAGCAGATGAATTTTTGGGATTGTGAAGTTTTCCTATTTGCTTTCTATAATAGATTATTATTCTTCTTCAAAATATATATTGTCCCTCTCCATGGGCATTTTACTACCATAGGATTGATTATATGTACTTGTTCCATTCACTTATGTCAACTTGGTCACGTGATTTGTGTATGTTTGTTTGTATGTATGTATGTATATTTGTGGTCAGTGAATGTGAGCACAGGTATGATGCCACTGGTCCAAGGTAGGATGTCTCACCTTTTAAGGCATGTATGAAACACCACAGGATCTTGCCAAACATCCTTTCTGACTCAGCAGTTCTGGAGTGGGGCCCTGGGATCTACATTATCTAGCGTGCTGAAATAGATGGCAAAGATTTGTGGACCACACTAGGTAGTAAGACTGGGCAGTGGTCCTCTAGCTTAGCCCATCTGGAGGGCTTGCTAAACCAGATTTATAGGTGGACCTCAGGTTTCATGATTTAGTAGACCCCTAAAAGAATTAGGTATCTTTGATGCTGCCACTCTGGGGAACCAGCTTTGAGAAAGGCAGGGGGAGTGAGCAGGTGTCTGTTTAACTCCATCCCAACACAACGCTGAGTCTGACGAATTCCTTATTCCATATGTTAGACTTGGGGAACTTAGGCCACTCGGATGCCTGTGTTCTGACCCAGTTCCAGTTAAATCAGAAAAGCCGGGAGGGGGCCCCAGAGCTGTTGTTTCCATAATGTTAGCTATAATGTTGTAGCCAAGTGGAAACCACAGAACCACTCTGAGCCTCTCCTCTGCACATGGACAGTGGATATCAAGTAGAAATAGTAAGGTCAGTGTGAGGCAAGCCATCAGACCTGTAGTCTAATCTCCACACCTCCACGTCAGCAACTGTTTCTTTCATTTGTTTTTCAGTTTCCACAAATAAGTGAGGACATTAAAAACAAAACCATAATCAACAGCAGAAAATAGCCATTTTAACAGGGTAAATACTACTCCAGGGTTGTCTGTGGGCCTACACTGAAGTCACCTATAGCCACCATCCAAAGAGCTCCGTGGTCTGTCATTTTGCTCCTGGGTCACTGTCTACTCTCACCAGAACCTTCCGTACACCTACTTCCTGCTAGCACCCCTCTGCGATTGGAAATGCTTGGGTGTAGCTTGACGGCAGAACACCTGCCTGGTGCGCATGAGGCCCTGGCAGGATAGAATACAGAATAAATGAGAAGGAGCAAACAAAATCAGCACTGCTGGGCTCGCATCTCTCAGTAGTCTTGCTGCCGTCCTGTATCCTGCCTCTGCTCGCTGATGTATTTCCAAATAAGTGACCAAAAGCAGCACCAATTTCCAAGCTAACAGGAAAGCCTTGTTCCTCCCATCCCTCACCCTAAACTACTACAGAGACTCCTAAAAATGATGAAGGGTGTTGGCCGAAGCCATTTTCTCAGCAATTACTCTCTTCCAATTCAATTAAATAAACATGGTTTATTGCCTCCCATCAATGAGGTACAAAGATGACTAATTTAACATCCCTGACCCCAAAGGGTAGCCCCTGGGAGCAGATGTTACATAAATGAGTCAATATTACCGGCGAGATAGCAGCTATGATGTAAGGTCTGAGTTATGTAGGTGGCTTTGCCCTTGACGCTCCTCCTCAGCACAGAGCCTCGCAAATAAATGGCTTTGGCTAAACAAATGAGTGGGAAATGGAGAATTGAAGGAGCGAACTCCACAGGACAGGGAGGGAGTCATACGGATGAAGGGGTTCTGTAACAGTGTGTGGAAGGCTGAGAGGTCTTCCAGATGGAGAAGTGTGGCTAGCGGGCTTGCTCCAGGGAGCTTTGCTTCCCCCACGCTAGGTTTGCAGGCCAGCTACCGCACCCAGCTGCCCATTACAGGAGTGCTGGGGATCCAAACGCAAGTCCTCACTCTTGGGTGGCAAGCCTTTTACCCTGAGTCATCTCGTCAGCCCCCGAATTCATTTAAAAACCTTAGTCCCAGCATCTAGGCAGAGTCCTAGAAAATGACAAACCCTTTGGGGAAGGGGACGGTGGGGAGAGCAGAAGGCTAAAGACAGAACCCAGGGCAGAAGGAGGAGACACAGAGGGGAGGCATGAAAAATCAGGGGCGATTCCCAAGCAGGAGGGCCTGGGAGCCAGAAGCCAGATAAAGGGGGTACAGCAATCCAATACGTGGCAGAAGTCAGGGTCAGGGTGGCCCTCTGCCAGACCAATCCAGTGGAGATGGAGATCAAACGAAAGTCATTGGTACCCAAAAGCCTTGTCTCTCATTACATCCCTCCTTACTTCGGGTGTGTATATTTGTTTACTGCCTTCTGTCTCTCTTGGAGGGAAATGTAAATTTAAAGACTTGAAGTCCGCCAGATGTGGTGGTAATCTTAGCACTTGGGAGGCACAGGCTCAGCTCTGTGATTTCAAGGTCACCCTGCCTATATAGTGAGGCCTTTTCTCAAAAACAAACAAACAAACAAAAAGACGTGAAGTCATGGGAATCTATTCCTTTGCTGCGACTCTGGATGTTAGTTTTTTCTTCTTTTCTTCCTTCTTCCTCCACAAAATCTTATTCAAAAAAAACATACAATGTACATGTATGTAAGTACTATTACACCAAACCCCAGGTAACTATCAGGCACTGTGAACAATGTCCAATCCCATGGCCAATCGTGTTTCATCTCAATATGTATATCTTCATGACTTTGAAGCAAATATTAAACTTGGATCCCTTTCATCCATAATTATGTTAGTATGTGCCTCTAAAAAAACGTAAGGACTTAAAAAAAAAATGTTACAATTAATATAACCTAAAATCAGAATGCCTCCGTGTCAACCAAAATGCAGTTTAGATTTCCCAATAGTTTAGATACTTCCCTGGCAAAAAGTTTGTTTTTGTATCATGTTAATGATCAAATCCAGGCCGCCTGCACCTAGTCAATACCATTGAGCAGCAAGCTCTGATTTGTGTTGTTTTGTTTGTAGTAACAAAAATGCTTTAAAAAAATTATGATGTCGCAGGTGTCCCCTTCCACAGTTTCCTTGACTAAAGAAGAGGCCCGTGCTGTTTTGAAAGTCTAGGGGTTAAGAGGATTTCTGCGCAGTCCAGCTTCTCAGTGGGGCGCTGCCTATACAGCAAGTGAACCTGAACTGACAGTAGGCTTAGGCTTGAGGCTTGATGAATTTCCCAAATCAGCACAAGCTCACAGGTCAGCTCAGGAACAAGACAGCACCTGTCTCAGCACTCCTCTCTCTCAGTTTCTCCTACTCGACAGAGACCACCAGACCTCCACACAGCAGAGGTTCGAAATGTTGTCTCCTTCGTACCTTCTGGAGATCAAACCAAACAGTTCTTCTTCGTGGCAAGTTCTTTGACTCCGCATTTTATCCGCGCTGTGCTTAGAGCAATAATCTATCATTTCCAGAGCTTCACAGTAATCCACTGGATATAGCTATACCATGATTTGCTTATCCATTGCCGTGCTGATGAACCTTTGGGCTGTTGACAGTCACAGGCTGTTATAAGACGGAGCTACCATGACCACGGTCGTGGATGTATTTCTTTGGGTTCATACTTAGGAGGAAGAATCATACACGCACTTAATTGCTGGATTTTAACCTGCTTTTTAGAATCTTGGTCTCTTTGCACATCACGTGTGTACTTTAAGCACATCATCTCAACCATCTGGACTTTATCTGTGAGGATGATCACATCGGCCCCATGGAGCGATGAGGGCTATGTAAAGCTCTTGGAGCCACACCAGCTTTTAGGAAGTGTTTTGTACGCGTCGACTGTTCCATCTTTCTTGTGGTGCCTTCCTGATCGTCATTGCTCTCCTCCTGCTTCCTAAAAGCTCCATCCTTCCAGGTTCAGGGTAACCTGATGGTGTTTCTCTCTAAAACCGGTCTATTCCCTTGACTTTTGATTTCTTGTATATGGACAAAGTTTGCAAACTATATTAAAAAGATAACTGTTAACCTCTTTATCTACAAAATTCGGTCTCTCTGGCCAAATTTGCCTTTCTAGTCAGGACATCCTATTTGCGCTTTCACTCCCCCGCCCCCACTTTTTTTTCCCGGTCCTGAAACTTACAATGTAGATCAGGCTAGCCTTGAACTTGTCCAGATCTTCCTGCCTCCTGCAAAGTTAGAGGTGTGTAACCCTACAAATAGCTCGTCTCTCCTTTGAATATGCATGTTACCATAATCTCAACAGCCCTGGGTCAGCCTGGCCTTTCTCTTCCTTGCAATCACCTCCAAGCAGCTTGGAATCATCTCTAACCCTTCCTTTCCCCTTGTATCCCAGTTTTAATTTGTGAGGGAGTCCTGATGAATATTTGTACTCATATCGTGTGTGTGTGTGTGTGTGTGTGTGTGTGTATGTGTGTGTGTGTCGTGTTTTCCTGCGGATGGAACCCAGAACCTTTTGCATACTAGGCAAGCATTCTGCTACTGCAATACACTGCCAGCCTACCACATCACTTTTTCCTTTTTAATTCCCTGTTCCTTTTGACTCCCACTGTCTTACTCAATCCCTTGTCACCTCACACCTAAACTAACATCATAGCCCACCATTTCTTCTGCCTGGCTTCAGGCTGTGCATTCACCCAAGGAAGGGTACTTACTGCCTCTGGGGTGACTCGGCTAAAACACAGGCAGTGCTTCCAGACTGGGCACGCGGATGTATGGCTTCCGGAATGGTGACTCTTAAACGCTCCACGAACTCTGTCCCCAGGGAAACACCCACAGCCGGTGGGGACTGTGTAAAACTCAAAACCACAACCACCTAAAGCGCCTGCAAATTGTCCTAGAAAACATTAAAAAAAAAAAAAAGTATAAACTCAAATGCCAGAAAATCTGCTAAGTCCCAGGAAGAACCATGCGAGTGGGTGCCACTGAGCCACAAACCACTTCCTCCTTCCAACCCCAATTCTGGGAGGGGGGCGGCGAGAACAAGAACACAAGTGACATTTTTCTCCAGCTCACGGCCGGCGGTGGCATCTGTATGACCCTGCAGAGGCGGGCTGTCTTCCAGCTCTGCGTCTCAAAGGCTCCGATGCAGACAACGTGGGCTGAGTGGTCTGAGGTTCACTTCCTACCCCCACCTCCATGCACAGGTGGGAAGTTCTAGTTCAGCTACGGATGGATAAGGACGAGCTGCTTTAATCACCCAGGCCCCAGCTTGCTCACGTGGGCAGAGACTCTGTTTTGAAAGGGGCAAGCCAAGAAAACCAAAGGCTACTTACCCTGTCCGACACCCTGTCCACTAAGCAGGACTGTCGCTGAGACAGGGGGAGTGCCACTGTCCCTGCCCAAGTTCCCCCGGCTCTAGAGCAGCCTTGTTGAGGAGGAGCAAGCCATAAAACTGCCTGGAGCTTCCACCAAGACAGACAATTTGGGGACATTAATTGGGGATGCTCCCAGAAATGATAAAGCTTGTCTTAGGAAGCAATTAAGAGTAGCTAGGCATTCCTCCATTAGAACAATCTAGAGTAGGGAGTGGGGATAGAGCTTAGAGGTACAGCACTTGCCTAGTGTGTGTGAGACCCTGGGTTCGGTCCCTAGTACCACACACACAGACTCTAATTGCAGACCAGTTAACAAGTGCATCAGAGAGGATCATGGAATGCATTGGTCAACGCCCCCTCCTCCCCGCTTCTGGAGTTGGGCTGAGCCTCAAAATTAACCTGATTGTTTCTGCAAAAGGGACCAAAGTTGAGCTGGCAAGACTGAAGCAATTTCTACGTCAGGGTAGGGTCAAAACCAATAGTCAGCCACAGTGAAGGTAAACAGCCCATAGAATTTCACTGGCCAACAGATTAATACAAAGATCAGATAGAGGAACTGGAGAGATGGTTCAGTGGTTAAGAGCACTGGCTGCTCTTCAGTTCCCAGCACCCACATAGCAGCTTGCAACTGTGTATAATTCCAGTTCCAGAGGTCCTGATACCCATGGCAAAACACCAATGCGCATAAAATAAATTTTAAAAAAGTAGATCAGGTAGAAAAGCAAAGGGAATGTTTTAGGATCTGTGTGAGGCTGGCACCAGGCACGGTGGTGCAGGGCCGTAGGCCTGAGCACCCAGGGAGGCTGAAGCAGGAGGATCAAGAGATAAAAATCAATTTGGGCTACATGCTAAATAGAGCTAGTTTCTGTCTCAAAACAGCAACAACAAAAAGACCATTGCCATTCCAAAATAACTGTGTACATGCCCATGCCTGCAGCCTCTGAGGAATGGCATCCAAATCTATCTGTGAGAGAAAGAGACTTCATCAGAATAATCCAGCTAAACCACTCCACAAACAAAATTCGTGAACACAATTGCAACAAGCCCTAGCCAGGCTTAATCCCTGAATTTGGGAGGCAGAGGCAGAAGGATTAGAAGTTCCAGATCCTCCTTGGCTTCCTAATGATTTGAGGCCAGCCTGGGCTACGTGAGACTCTGTCTAAAAACAAACAAACAAACTTGACCACAGCAGTGGGCACTACATGCATTACTTCACTGTCCAGCATTATGACATGGATCCTGTTTTGAGTTATAGATGAAGAAACTGATATTCCCTTGACCAACAGATACCACAGCCTAGAGCTAAATTCAGAAAAATCCTTAAGCACACACACACACACACTCACAACACACACACACACACACACACACACACATATACACACATATATATGTAATGAGAAAACTTACCCTGCTGTAGGAATTCCTACCGCCAGTAGCCTTTAAGTTACCCGCCCACTTGGGTGTGGCCTCTTATACTATATATGCCCATGTAAAACTTGTCCGGCTCTTTTCTGGCTGCAGGATTCAGTTGCTGTTCCCCGTTCCAGCAGAGGACTGTGATCTGTAAATCTACCCCTAAATAAACAACCCTCTAATAGACTCAATTCTGAGCTAGTGTGGGGTTTCTTCTAAGCGTCCTTCTTCATTACCCTCTTACACATTTTTCTAAGTGTGTAATTCACTGGGACTGAGGGCATTTACCTCGGCTACACAACTGCTTCCTCTCCTAAGACTGAAATCCAGCATCCATTAAACCCAGTTCTCCATACCTCTCCCAGCTGCCCTATTTTGTTATCTTTAAATCGACACCTCTAGGCACCTTTTAGAAGGGAAATGTTACAGTGTTTATCGCTTTATTCTTATTGGCTTATTTTCCTTAGCACAGCATCCTCAAGGATTATTCATGTTGTAGTGTGTGTCGGAATTTCATTTTTCTTACCCATTCCTCTCTATCCACAGGTTGTTTCTTCTTTTTGGCAGTTGGGAGCAATGCGGTGATGAACACTGGTGTACAAAAACCTATGTGAATCATGCTTAACTTTGTGTGTGTGTGTGTGTGTGTGTGTGTGTGTGTATGACATGGTTTCTCTGTGTAGCTCTGGCTGTCCTGGAACTCACTCTGTAGAACAGACTGGCCTCGAACTCAGAGAGTCACCTGAGTTCTGGCTCAAGTCTAACTTTTAAGGTGCCATATCTGTATTGAGGATGATACAATAAACGAGGTTAGGGTAGAATATGGAAGGCTATCTTAAATATCTAAATTTTAGTAGTTATAACATCATCTTAATGAAATCAGAATAACCATAACCATCATATCAAGTCTGACGTGTGACAAGCAATGCTTCTGTCCACAGTGTCACAGCACTATCAACATTGAGGGCCAGGTAATCAATCTCACATGATCAGGTGCTGTTCTGGGCACTGTAGGGTGGTTCAGTCATATCTCTGGTCTCTATCCACAGAATGTCAACAGCACCCTTCTAGCTATGACAACCAAATGCGTCTTTGAAAGCAAAACTGTTGACAGTTAAGAACGACGGACTAGAAAGAGGGTGTGGCTGAGTGGTCTTGTGTTTGCCTAGGATGTGAGAGGCTTCAGATTCAAGCCACAGCAAGCCAAAGCAAAATCACTGATTTAGGCTGAGTCTGAAGAAGCCATTCGACTTGAAAAGCAAAAGTGCACCTGTGCATGGTGGCACATTCTTGTTATCCAATCACCTGAGAGGTAAAGGCAGGAGGATCAGGAGTTCAAAGCCAGCCCCTGTTACATAGCAAGTCTGAGCTCACCTTGGGCTATAGGAGACCCTGTTTCCAAAAAGCATAACCACACAAAGAAAACATGAAGAAGCGCAAAGACAAAAGCCAGGAATGATGGTGCATGCCTATTATCCCAGGACTCCGGTCACTGAAGGAAGCTCATGTGTTTGAGGCTAGCCTCTACTACCCACAAAGACCTGTCTTAGAAAAGAAAAAAAAAACTTTTTTAAGTGAATCAGTTTAATGAACTTAGAAGTTACAGAAGAGGAACTACAGAGATAAGGGCCACAATTATGAAGGAGGCATGCAGCTGCCTGGCGAGGGGGGGATGCCTACCCTGCAGGGTGCCAGGCAAAGCCATTAACTCAAGTGAAGGCATTCACCAGCCTCTGACACTGGCCCATCCATCTGTTCAGCTCTCCTGCCAGTTTTCCACCCTGATCCCATTCTGGACAAGCTGTGTGGAGTTCTCCCACCTAGAGGTTTCTGCAGCTGCTGCCTTCACCACCTGGAGTACCCACTGCCCCAGCCCGGGCATGTCTAAGCACCAGCTCAACTCTCCACAAATCCAAATCCGAAGAAAACGTTCCCTCTTGGGAATGAGGACCTTCGTTTGGCACAGGCTGAACTCTGCTGCTTACTGCTGAGCATCCTGAGCTGTCTCTAGGATTTCCCCTTTGTCCTCTATACCCGCCCACATGGGGACAGGACTTGGTCTCACAGTTCAGCCCATCTCTCTAGCCCTGGAAATATGTTGCTCGGTAAAACTGTTTACTGTCTGGTTAATTAAAAATATGATAGAAACAGTTTATGTGTCTCTAAAAGGATTTAAGTAGCTTTAAAATAGCTCAAGCACATGAATTTTGGTGGGTAAGGATTTGTGATACAATAACTTAAGGCACATATTTTATTGACTTCTTTGGAATTAATAGTGGGGAGCAGACAATTTTTATTGCTGCAATTAAGAATGATGTCAAGAAGAGCAGTGTTTGATGACTGAGTCTTCACCTATCTCTCTAAAACTTTTAATGTGTAATAGTAAGTCTGGAACACTGTGTGTGCGTATGTGTGTGTGTGTAAGATGGGGGAGTAATGCGTGGAAGCCAAACGACAACACTGTGACATCAGTTCTCTCTTACACCTTGACGTGGGACCAAACTCAGGCCCTCAGGCTCACACAATGAGTGTTTTACCCACTGAGCCAGTCCCTGCCTCCCCCTCTACCCCCTTTTTAAAATCTTATTATAGATAATTTTACAGGTGGATTAAGAAAACAGCACAGGCCAAACGGAAGGCTGTTTTCCCATCATCACTGTTTTAAACAGCCAGCTGGATGCCTTTTCTAATAACGTCAGGAGCCAGGTCCTTGAACGGCATCCTTGTCCGTCTTCGCTGACCTGTGTAACACATCAGGCCTGAGAACTTCTAAACCAAGTCAATCACCGTCATCAGTGAGAAGCTGGCCAGGAGGTGCATTCTGAATCTAAGCTGCCCATCACTGGCCCTGGGTGTGACAAGTGATAGTACTGCATTCCCCAGTCTGACTCACGTCAGGCTTTCAGGGGACTCCAGACGCCACGTCTGGACTGTGGCCTCCATATCATCTGCTCAGCCTTCCCCTCCCCCTCTGCCCTCACGGTGATTAAGCTGATGAGGTCTAATCCCCTGAACCTTAACACAATCCTTCAGATAATCCACAGCAAAGGAGGGTGGGCATGTTGGAGGGAGGGTGAGCTGGGGTTCCCTCGCCGTCTGTCCGTCGGTCGCAATCCCGGCACTCGGAAGGCTGGAGGAGGAGGGCCACAAGTTTGAGGCCATTCTGAGTTATAGGAGGCCCGTTTTGAAAGGCTTGAATAAAGTTACATAGACACATGTGTGCACACATACATGTATGCCAAACGCTTTTGATCATCAGGGAGAAAACTTAGACAATGGGATGGATTTAGAGAAAGGTTCTTCAGCGGCTCCTCTGTTGACTATGACAAAGGTTTATTAAGGGCTTGGCCTTTGCCAGGTGCTGATGGAAACACAGTCCATTTCAAACTCATTGCTTAGTCGTAGGGCCCCAGGAGGCAAGCACATCACAGTCCGCTGCATTCAATAAAGAAAAGGACAGAACAGAAAGGCGCTGTGCTTGCCCAAGGCCACAAAGCTAAGGAGGAAGCAGTTTTGGAGCGCAACGGCAGAGATCCCAAAGCTGGTGGCTCTGTCATTCCCTGAGGACCGAGAATGACAGGGCCAGGACAAGCAGAGTATGTCTTTCTTATGGGAGCCACATATGGCTCCCCCATCTTTCAGAGTACCCCGTAGACTCTCAGGTGAAATCCTGTAGAGAGGCTCTCATTGAGATGGACCCAGTTCCACATCAATGAAGTCCCGGAGCCTCAGCCAACACAGAAGGTGAGCAGGGACATACTGTCTCTAGGTGTTCTTGAACTTCTGATCCTCTTACGTCCACCTCCTGAGGGCTGGGATGACAGAATGTGTCAGGTCTATGCTGTGCTGAGGATGGAGCCCAGGGCCCTGTGCGTGCGAGGCAAGCACCCTATAGGCTGAACTACACCTCCAGCTCGCCTGCTTTTACCATCTGATTTACAGACATACTCTGGCATCTGACCATCTCAAGCCGAGGCTCACCGAGTCCTCGATCCCTGTAGACTGCTAAACTTGAAGGCCAAAATGAGGCCATTTTTGTCCCCTAAGTGACCTCCCACATCGATGCTTTGTAAAATGAAATAATATGATTAAACAGAATCTGGCAAGAGTCCTGGAAGAGGGAAGGAAATAGAAACCAGAGATAAATAAGAAAGCAGCACTGTGAGCTTCATTATGACCATGGATCCTTCCTTAAGCCACCCAGTCACAAAGGAGACACACATGTCCTGTTCAGCTCCCTCCTCTGCCTAGACTTGGTCTACACTGCTTTTCGGGCCTTGGTGAATCACTGTGTTTGAGAATTCCTAAGTCGGGCAGATGTCCCTTGTTAGTACTACCTAGGTTCCCGACACAGGAGGGAAAACCCACTTTTACCATGGTGAACCCACTTTTACCACGGTGAATCCATGTTTACCATGGTGAGCTGTCTGCAGTTCACTACAAACGGTTGCTCTTATGACTGGGAGTCAAGCTATTAACTCATCTGAGATCCCAGGCAGCCATTCCAAGACCAAAGACGATGCTCAGCCCCAGCGGACACGGGCAGGAGGAGACCCAAATCAGGCTGAGCTGGCTTCTTCAGCACGTGTGCCGCCGTGTGTGCTGAACCACCAACCAGCTCTATTTAAAGGGAAGAACCAGAAAACTGTAGCTCAGAACTAAGTGTGTGCACCCACACACACGCCTGCACCCACACTCATGAATACAACTCCCTCTACTGGCAGCAAATCTATTTATAAGTTCATCATTTTTAAGGATTTCTTATTGACAATAGTACGTGCTTATGGCACACCTACCATGTGATGTTTGGTACCTGTGTGTTATTAGTGAGACGGCTATATCCCACTAGTTAACATCCGTATCTGGTGACAGATTCAAGGCTCATCTGTCAAAGTCCCAAACCGTTTTAGCAGAAGAGTCAGAACCATGGGGGAGGCTGTGGCTCAGTAAAATCCTTTGCTACCAAAGCCTGGGCTTCTCTTCATCAAGACGGAGCAGAATAGGGAGGAATAAATAGGCCTTGGGATGGAACTTTATTGAGGCAACGTGACAACTGGGTAAAAGACACAAGAGCAATGGCTTCTCTCCCCCACCTCTCTGTTGTCCCATGGCTATGGGTGCTTTCAAAGGTCTGAGGTTCAGTGCAGTTCCAAGAGTCTACTCTGTCCACACTCTGGGGTGTCCCGTACCTTCAGAATGAGAAGTGGGCTTCAGGAGAGTCTGAGAGATACTTTACTGAGTGACTTTTGGTTCGGCACTGAGCAGCCTTCAAAAGACGCTGTTTGCTCATATTGTCTGTGATAAGGCCTCATTATGTAGCTCAGCCTGGCTTTGGCCTTAAAGCAATCCTCCTGCCTCAGTCTTCTGCTGGGATAACAGTCACGAGTCACCATACCCAGCTTGTTCCACTCCTTGTGGTGGCTCCTAATTTCCTGGTCACAATCCTAAAACTGTGTTGGGGGAAATTTAGTATTGCTTCAAATACAACTTCCTTCCTCTGGCTATGTGGTTCTTGCATTTCTCCTACTGTCCTCAGGGGCTTGCAGCCCCTCTGAGCCTCAGCAGTAGTCTCTCGCTGCCCCACTGGAGCAGCATTTCAAGCCATGAGTGGTCTCCTTAGTCAAGCACGTGCCAGCGCATGTGCAGCCTCAGGCTCCCGGAATTTTAGAACCGAGCCTAGTGGCATGGACGGAGAGGGTGAGTGGCGAGCCATGAGTCTCGAGGAAGGCCCATGGAATGCCAGGCACTATTCACATTCATCTGGTAGCTCATCAGCTACCAGCCTTTACCAAATGAAATCAGCGGCACGCCAAAGCACCGCCGAGGCCGCACAACCAGCACATTCTCCGTTCTAACGACTTCAGAGGTTACCTTCTTCCAAGAGACTTCCAACCTGCAACGGTGGCTGAAAGGCTGAAAGAACAGCGAGGGACAATAACAGGCCCGCATGTCCCCGCCCACTTCCCTTAAGCTAAAAGAGATCAGAGGTCGCAGCCTCCACTCCTTTGTCCCTTTCTGGCTTGGTGACTCACCACCACCTCTGCTCTTCAAAGTTAGGACTCCTCATTTCATCACCTGTGTCCTCAGCTACAGGTCCATCCTCCTGGACACACCAGAGCTGAGAACCCTACAGCTGAACTATCTCCCCAAGCCCCACATTCATGCCCAAGGGATTCCAGACCTTTCCAGCCCCAGAACCCAGCTAGCAGTCACAATAGGACCTCTCCCATCACCTCACCCCGATCAACCATCAAACACAACCCACCCTTTAGCCGTCTCCCCATATCCCGCCTCTTGGGGCGGCTCTTATCCAATAGCGTCTTTGCCCACTGGCCAAAGACATCAAAAGTAACCAATTGTAGAAGAACTGTCTGCTAAGACTCACCGCCTCCACCCTGAGCAACAGCCACATTAACCAATGGGCTGCCAACCAGGCGTAATGAGCGCGCTAGCAAATGGAGTGGCGGCTGCACTATCCAATAAGCAATGAGGTATTCTTGGTTGGGGGCGTGGCAGAGGCGGTAGTCAGGGGCGTGGCTGCAGTTGCCTGGGCGGGGCCGGTAGCGGCGGGAGCTGCGCTGGCCAGGGGTTCCGGCTGTATTTCTATGAGCGCAGCCGGCAGCCGCGGAGCTGCAGGAATCGGACTCCGGGCTAGCTGAACCGCTGGAGTCAACGAGCGCAGGTAAAACCTCGGTTGGGCGAGCTTCACCAAGCTGCGATCGCTCTCTGGAGGCATCGGGCCAGAACCCCGAGTCCCTGGTCCCCCGGTGGCTCGGCCCATCGCGCCGCAGCCTGTGTGCTCCTGATCTGTGGGGACTGTTGGGGGACTGTCACCTGGCACTGCGGGGGTCCGAAGGGCTAGCTTGTCTAGTGGCGGGGCAGCCCAAACCACGGGTGGGATACGCCTTCCTGAAGGTCCTTTGTCCTCTCCTGTTCGAAGAACCGAGCTTGGGGACAAGGCCGACAGAGGCCTCCTGGCTGCCGTTCCCTGTTCCCTATTGATGCTCACTCTTGGGCCTAGGGAGGTATCCGCTGGATCTGACTTGGGGAAGAGGCTTGCAGAATGCTGGAAACCTGAAAGGGCCTGACTACAAGTCCGGGATATTCGCTGGGCCTCTGCGTTTTGGGATCCCGGTGCTCCCTACGACTGATGGGTTCAAGTTCTAGGGAAGCAATTTTTGACCTACTTGGAGGCGCACTTTATTGAGCTTGTGGGGCAACTGTTCTAGGTGTTTCGTGGGCTTTCCCCCACAGCAAGATCTGTCCAGCAGCGCCCTGGGCTGCCTGCCAGGCTAGGCAGCCAGAACATCGACCTTGGAAGTGCCTAGGCAGAGGCCAGATGACAGCCACCTGTCTGGGATGCTTAGGAAGAGAAGGATTGTATGAGATCCATCAGTAACGGCTTTCTCCACCCACCATTGCACTCTGGACAACATTTAATGACTAGATTGAGGGGGATACTTACCAGAGTCCACTAGATTCCAAGGGGGTGTTGAATTCACCCATAATGGTTTTTGAGGTGTTTGCTCTCATGTGCGTGTGTGCATGCCTGTATGCAGATGAATAGATTACACCAAAAGATGAGTTAATCGAGTTTATTATTTCAGTGTACTGTTAGGGTTCCTCTTTCCGGTTCCTCTATTTCGGTGCCTCCACCTCCGGCTTATCAGTTTTACCTGGCCCACGGGCAGGTTCTGAGAACAGGCTCGGGAGAGATTGCAGGTTTGGCAGAGTCAACATGATCTGTGCCCAGAGCTTTTCAAGGGCCATTGGGTTACAACCACATTAAGCCGAGTGCCTTTTCCCTCTTCGCTGCCTGCTCTTGTTTGCCTGAATAGAAGGGACATAATCTTCTGAAGGTCAGGAAGCAGAAGTAATTGTAACCCACCTTGCCCGAGTGAGGATAAATGAAGCTTTCAGCGAGCCAGAAAGCAGGCCAGTCCATGCTGTTAATGGCCAGCCGGAGCTTAGGATCTTTTCAACCTAAAATGCCAAAGCTCATCCAACCCCATTCCCCTCATTGTACAGATGGAGAACCTTAAGGCCCGGGATGGTCACAAGGCTGGCCGGTCATCACAGGGTCATGACTAAGAGTTAAACTTTTGACCCTAGATCTAGCCTGGGCATGACTTAAATTTTACACGCAGCCGTAGTTCTCCTTCTTTATTCAAGTTCTAGAGGAGCCCAGACAGGTTAGTTGCACAGACCTCAGTGTCTCAGTGCCTGGGTTTGAATCTTAGTCCTGCTTCTTCTCAGCTGTGCAACTTGGGACCAGTTATCCAACCTCTCTGTGCCTGTTTTCCTCACCAGTAAGGCAAGGGGCAATGTTGGCACCTTGGTTAAAGACGAAGAAATAGGCACTGCTGGGAACATTAGAACAGTGCCTGGCTCATGGTAACCATAACAGATTAACTAGTGGGTTGTTGCCTTTCTCTCTGGCTTTTCTTCAGATCCACCACCCATTATCCCCCCTCCCCCGCCGAAATGTAGTCTATATCCTAACACAAGCTCCTTAGTTGCATCACCCCCCCCCCATTTTCCTCGTATTAAATCGGACAATGTAGTTCCTCTGTCAGTTGTCACCCTGTGAGCACTCCTCCCGGACACCGGTATTTCTGTCCTCTTTAAAGGGAGTGAAAGTGAGTCTCTCAAAGTGGTAGACAAAAGTCCCCGGGATCCCAGTCTGCACGGTGTCCTTCCAGACTCCCATTCTCTCCACCCGGCCTCCCTCCCCAGTTGTCAGTGTGATTCAGCTTGATTATAAATGGATGAACGTTTTTAGATTAAGATTTCATGAGCCACCGAATTAAGTGCCTTTCGGAAGTTCAGGGATCATGTGTCGAGTGCCTTTAAGCAACTTCCCTCGCCATTTGAGTAGGGGGAGCGGCAGCAGTAGCCTGGCGGAGACACAAGTGCAGGGCAGACCCTTGCTGGCCATCTACTTGTTCTTTCCTCTGTCTGCATTTCCCCTGCTCCGCCTCCCCGCCTTTTTTTTTTTTTTAAAACAGAGCTTGAAGCAAACCAGATGGCAATGCAATAGAGTTGTTTTTCTCCTCATTTTATCAGGAGAAGTTTTCTCATTCCTCCCTTTTTAATCCCTCTTTCATTTACAATCCCTCTTCGAAGCCTTCTGAAGCCCATCAGGTTCCAAGGGAATTCACCTGTATTGAAAAACCGCCGTCTGTGTGCGGGGCCTGTCACTTTTGTTTCTCCGTTTATTACTGTTTTTTGTTGTTGTTTACTTGTTCTTGCTTTTGCAACTACGTCATCCCCTTCTCTAGGTGTCACCAAAGTTGATTACTCGTCATTGATGGGCACCTGGGATTATGATCCTTTTGCCGTGGCTCATCACCACTCGGCCGTTTTAGAATGATGGTTCCTTCCTTGGCTGCATGGCTCATTCCCCGTTTCCCCTGACATTCTAACAGAAGGATGACTTCCTCGCCACTGCCATGCCCTCCTTACCAGAGTCACCTCTGACAGAGCATGTTCAAGGGTTCCACCGCTTAGTGCACAGTTCTTGCCCTAGAGCGTAGCACAGCCTCTGGCCCTGTGGCAGACGGGAAATTATTCTTTTCCTTCCTTCCTTCCTTCCTTCCTTCCTTCCTTCCTTCCTTCCTTCCTTCCTTTTCTCTTAAAATCTGGTTCTGTGCAAACCCCTGGCAGATGGACATTTCCAGTGTAAAGGAATCCCATCTGGCAGACTTTCTACTAAGACCATAACCTACAGTATTTGGATTTTTATTGGCTGTGGGTTTGAACCCTCGTTGACCAGTTGAAGAGTTGATGACGCAGGGCAGGAGGTGTTGTGGGCCTTTCTCTTTCATCTTGGCTGCCCCAGGAACAGACACTGGTAGGGGGGGGACCCTCTTGATGTGGTCGAGCATGAGGATTATACAGCAGCCTTTCACGGCCCAGCATTCATTCTTCTCTCTGTCTCTCTGTTGCCCTGTCTTTCTCTTTCTGTCTCTGGTGGTGTTTTCTGAGGCAGGATCTCCATAGTCAGTCCAGGCTTGGCTTCTCATGGTCCTCCTGCCTCAACCTTCAGGGTCCTGGGATTCCAAGCATGCGGCCCTGATGCCCAGCGATTATAGCCTTTTAAACCCTGTGCTTCTGTTCAGCATTGATAACATATGGGTGCTGAACTGATTTTCCATAAGAACTGGTTTTGTTTTTGTTTTGGACCAGGTCCTCTTGTAGCCCAGGCTGGCCTCAAACTCACTATACACCCAAGGGTGACCTTGATTTCTTGATCCTCCCAAGTGCTGCGATCACAGGTATCACCATCCACGACACCATCTTCTGTTAAGGATCGGTTTCTATTTACAGATTATTTTTGCCTGTCTTGGTTCCAGGGTATCATACGTGGGAATTAAATCTTTTCAGCTTATAAAATGGTTGCAGTAGACTGATGAAGAACCCCACGATGACCCTGGAGTGTGTGTTCTGGGCCAGTTGGACAAAGCACTTGTTACACACAGACCCAGTCTCTGTCCTTTCATAATCAGTAGGCAACAGTCAGGTAAAGAACTGAAGGAACGTTGGTGGCACAAGCTTGCATAGTTTCTGACTTGTGTCTTTAAGTGGAGCCCAGGTTGGCCAGGGACTGGCAGAGAGAAAGGGTGATCTTGACTCCTCATCCCCTGCTTGGGCATCTGGACAAGCTGGGATCCCAGGCCATTGCCTTAATATATAAGCCAGTTTCTTATATAGTGCTGAGATGGAACCCAGAGCCAGCATTCTGCCAACTGAACTACATCCCCAGTCAGTGGAGGTTCCCTAGCTCACAAAATTCTTCGCCAGGTGTATGCTGGGAACACTAGTAACCAGACCAGCGAGTGGTGACGTCTGCTTTATCACACAAAGCTATTTTGTTTTAAAATTGGCTCTATTTAAAATTTTAATATGTAATGTTCTTAATTCAAACATTGGTGGTTGTTTGTTTTGAGAAAGGGTCTCTCTTTGCTGTGGCTAGCCTCACACTTAATAGGTAGACCAGGCTGGCCTCGAACACAGAGATCTGTCCGCTTCGGTCTCCTGAGTGTTGGGATTAAAAGTGTGAGCCGTCATGCCTAGCTTGATTTTTGTTGTTGTTGTTCAGTTTAAGTTTTTTTGATGCTTTACTCTTATTATTCACTGTGTTTGTATTTATGTATGTGGGTGTATACATGCCATGGTTTACATGCTGTGATTAGACAGTGTGGGGGTTTGGTGCTCTCCTTCTATCCTGTGGGTTCCTAGGATCCAACCCAGATTGTCATGTTCAGCAACAGACACCTTTATCTGCTGAACCCCTTTTCTGACCACACTAAAACTTACTTGAAGAAAATATACATTGAAAAGTACAAAATATTCAGGCTGGTGAGATGACTCAGAAGTTACAAGTACTGGCCGCTCTTCCAGAGGTCCTGAGTTCAATTCCCAGCACCCACATGGTGGCTCACAACCATCTATAATGAGAGCTGACTTGTAGATCTTCCTCTTCTGACTTGCAGGTATACATGCAAGTAGAACACTGTATACATAATAAATCAATAAACAAAATATTGAATCTATATGAGAAATGTCCTGCTTGGAAAATGCAATTCTGGCTAATTCTTTTAAAAGTGGGTAGTACAAAGCCAAGTGTGGTAGCTTACATCAGTTGTTTCGGGGTGTTGGGGCAGGAGGATTGCCATGAGT